TTGTTAGGATTTCATTATGCATCTTTCCTAGTTTTTCCGGGATAATTATATAATCGAGGTTATCAAATTAGGTAATTTCATATGTCAAGAACTGCTAGGAGTGTATAACGAATGTAACTGATAGTCTTAAAAATTTATCCCATCAGTCAATAAAAAGCCTTTTTGAAATATGAACGGTTAAAAATTACAAACCATGAGATTTGAAAAAAAAAAAAAAAATTCCCTACTAATTTTGGGCAACCATTTAACTAAAACAATTTTTATGGTAGAGGGTGACATCCCAATCAGAAACAAACACTGCATTTGGAAAACTTGAGATTTTAATGTTTAAAAATTACAGAATTTAAAAGTACATAATTAACATTAATCATATAATCTTCGTAGTAAAAATATTCTTCTAACTTTCCTTTCTGTTCATTTATCATTTCATTAGAGAAAAAAAAAAAATGATTGCTATTTTGTTTCCAGTGGGGATAGCAGCTGATCATTGTTGCTAAAGAACAATAAATATATTTTTAATAATTTCATTATATGTTTAAAATGTTTGTATTCTTACATTCTTCACGATCATTTCGACATTACCGCTACAACTAATTTATGAATCGTAATCAAGGCCTTTTGAATTCCTTTCGCTAAGAGTTTTAGGCCGGAAAAACCTTGATTGCTGTTCAGTCAAGCCATGAATAAGGTTATATCAAAAATACCTCAATAAGCAGTGATATAATGTTTCTCCTAACCCTGTGCTAAAGATCTTTCTATTATTTATATTTGTGAGGTTTATTTAAATTACATAACAATTATTTTATGTTTGAAATCTTTACTGTCGCTTCTGTCTTTTCGTTTCCCCTCCAGAAATGAATTAGCTCACGTGTGCTTAAGTGAGGGTTTCAGATTGTTAAATCATTACTATTCTTGATAAGAATTTCCAAAAGGTCTTTTACACCCTTGTTAGGTTTCCGTATTTTAGACTAAGCGACAAGTCCCTTAAAGTCTATAAAAAAGTAAAGTCCCATTTTAAGAAAGTAAAGAAGTAAAAGTTTTTTTTTTTTTTTTTTCCCCAATGGTGGGCACTTGATTTTGTTGGTATCTGCCACTCCCAACGCCAGATGTGAGGTCTTTATTATGGAGAGGATTATTATGGTCTCTTTATTATTATTATAGAGACACCTAATAGTTGGGCCACCTTTGCCTTCTATGAGGCGACAGATAATTACATCCAAGCCTTGTCCGAGATTCAAACCCGTGCCCTTCGCTATCGCAGTCAGGCTCCCATAACCATTAGACCGTTTAGGTAGCCGTAGTAAAAGATGTTAAACCTTATATTGGCGTCCAAATAAATAACGAACCATGTCACATTGGAAGTTCAGTTTTTAATCTGCGCTTCCCCTTTCCCTGAAGTTTACAAGCTCGGCAGGCACCATTTAGTCCCATGGAGGGATTTTGGCTTCATTGTGGACACCATGTGGGCATCAATGAAGCCCATAATGACTTTCGTTGGAAGAAGTTCGGTAAATACTTTTCTTGAGCATTTAAATTTGCATTTCCTACTTGATACGGTACCAAACATTCAAAATGTAAGGCTTAATGTAAATATCTAATAACCAAAGGCTACACATAGCAATTTAATCGCAAAGCTGGCTCGGAATTCACCGGCGTGAATTTAATTATATGCAAGAAGCAAATCCGAAGACAAGAACTCTTATCCACACCAGCAAAATTATGGGCTTTCAAGAGACAAAGTATGTTTTGACTTAACACTCTCAAACCCTGACTTACACACGCGAGCTAATTTGCATTCTGACGAGAAAACGGAAAGAGAGAAGTGACAGTAATGATTCGACATAAAATAACTGGTTATTTAAATTAGTTAATCCTAATATATTTATTAAAATAATGTGAGTTATGCTTAAAAAAAGACTACACAGACAGAAAGGTACACAACTGATGGTCTTAAATGATGACAAATGAGCTTTAAAAAAACACTGAACGATTTAGGACTGTTCTCTGGATGGCGGCTATAACGGTATTAAAATATCTTTCTGCAATGTATCTCTGCATTACAATCACGCAAACTTCGGCTGTATGTCGGGTTCTAGGAAAACACTGTTTCACAAAACGGTATTACGTTATTCGGATGTGTCTGGAACTACTGGAAAGACGTTATTAGCGAGAAATATGCTAAATTTTGGCATTTTAATTGGCCATGCTTGTCAGTTATAACGAATACACGAATAAGTTCCGAAATTGCGGAATTGATGCAAAATTCAAGATAATTTTATTTAAATTTTAGACATCTGCGTTATACAAATGCCGAATGTCTTCAGAGCAATGAAAAGTTACGAAGCATGCTATCAGAGCATCACTATAAAGAACAGTTTGAAAGACTTAATGAAGATGCATTTAAATTTGAACCAGTGATTTCAAAGAATACTACGAAATGTATTGCTGTATTACGACTACACTTTATGGAGAAAGGTGATGAAAATACAACGTAGGATGTTGCTGCTGGACCTAATCATTCAATCATGAACTCATGACGATGCAAATTCTTTGAATATTTATCTTTTGGATTCAATATTGAGATAAAAGTACATGAACGTTTGTCCATCAGTCAAATGTTTAAATATCCAATGTTTTCTCACAATTAGAAATGAAAGTTTCGTTCTATATATTGGAATTAAAGAAAATGCAAAGAAGTGCTTTTATGTTAAAAACAATTTTGTCACTAAACAGCATTTTATTGTTCTTTGTTGTCTACTTCATTGGAAAAATCATTTTTAAATTAGTAAAATTGATATTTTATGTTTTAAAAATCAACATCTGTAATAAGGACAACTTCTTAATTGGGATAAAATGGTTCTGTTTCGATGCTTTTAAAATCGGCCTTCAATTATTAGGGCAATTGTTTAATGGGCCAAAGCTGCTAAGATCCGATATGCCCAAATTAACTAGAACTGACTGAATACCGAAATATGCTTTGTACTAGTCGGAATATTACCCAAGTTTCTGAAGGTATGAAGCATTGACAATAATTTGTTTGCAACGTAAGTAAAATATTCATTCAGAACTTTTAATCTTCCGTGGAAGTGGTTATTTAGAAAGATAATATGCAGTTCTAATATTTATCTATGTTGATGAAAGCACTGGTAACTTTTACAGGCAGGTGACTGCCAAAAAAATGTGGTTCACCGTCTGAGAAAAATTATATATATGTTGTTCATGCAAAGGGAAATTTCGTTTGTTTCACATAAGTTTCTAAAATTGTTTCATATAAGTTTGAATTTTATATTCTGCTTGATAACCAAATATTTGAAATAAATATAAAAATTAATAAATGCACATAAAATAAATTTAAAGCAAATTTTTTTCCGCGGATTTTAGTTTCCAGAATTTCTTTAAGAAGTCAGCTATAGAAAATTCCACTTTTTTTTTCTTAACTTTTAGAATGACAATTCAGTTTTTCCCAGAAAATTAGAGGTAACTAAAAAAATAGCATGCATAAAAAACCTACTCCCGTCCTTCTTTAATGAGCAGTAATTTGAGCTTTGAATGAAACTCAACTTCATACGTTACAAAAAAGCATTAAGTTTTTGTAATTGTATTTCAAATTTAATGCAATATTTTATAATTTAGTTACCCATTATTGTACAGTTCAAATTAAAAATATTATTAAAGCGAAGTTAAGTAAAATATTTTTCTAGTACGCTACAAAGTTTTTTTTTGGAAATGACGCATCGATTTAATTCCAACATTTAAATATTTTTATGGTACAGTTCAGAAATATTATTACACTGAATTTCTAGAATTTCAAACCCTATATATTGTATTATAATTAAAGAAAAAAAAATCTGTTTCATTTTACAAATAATAATAATAATAATAACTTATTATATATAAATTAGATAACTTCTATGATGGAAAACTATATATACTGTTGCGTGCTTACGGATTCGTAATAGACTGAATGCACACAGAACAGACGATAGCTTGATAAAATTTATTTTACCAAAATAAACACATTACCTAGAACTTTTCCCAACAATATTCGTACAATCAGATATACGATTCTTACAATGAGATTACGGTATCACACAGTACAATCAGAAGTTACAAAGTAAGCTAAACACAATGCAATGCAAAGCGCATCTAAAGAGCGAAGCTCACACGGAGATATCTGAGTACTCCGAACTCAGTCTGAACAAACAACTGAGAGAAGATGCTCTCTCCGGTTTTATATAGTTTTCTCTCCCGGCCGCGAGAGGTATTTCGTACCTTACATTTCTCGAAATTACTAGAAAGCATATGAGTGCCAGATACGGTTACAGCTACATATAGCATCAATTACAGTTATTGAATTCCAATACCCTTTACAATTATACAGGAGCCGGACCCAAACGTCGTTAAATTTGGCAACTTTTTGTGGTTTCTCGCCCAATCTGTCGTCAAAAAAATAGTCGCCCAAACCATCGCCAGCTTGGAGATATCTTGCCGATTTAGCGAGATAGCCATTAATTCAATGCTGCATAGACTTGCCCCTGTATTCTTACTTTTTTGGCAAAGCTGCACTTCTTTAAATTTTTATGTTACATTATAAAAAAAGAAACCCCCCCCCAAGAAAAACTACAATTTCAATTAGGCTTTTACTAAAGTTATTTACGTACCTACAATATTCGTAACAATACTATCAGATGTTTTCCCCGATATGTTTTACTTTAACATATTTAATTTCTCCATTATTTTATTTAGATGTTTAAAAAATGATGACACAGCCTTCTGTAATCGCGATTCGTATTTAATCGACCGCCTATACATAATCGAATATAGAGAAAGAGCTACTTGCTGAGTCGACGCGAAGTGGAATTTTGAATTTTACTCATAGCCTAGACACCAAGTGATCTGAAAAATGTAAACACAGCAACGTCAGGTAAACCGGTAGGGGAAAAAAAAGGGAAATAAATACCTGAGGGACAGAGAGTACGTTGGAGACGATTTGTTATTCGTTGAGAAATATCAAACGCCATGCGGCTGCAATCAAGAGTGGACTGCAGTTGAGCAAGCAGAATGTTGGCGCATTATCGTGGATTACTGGATATTTTGAAATAAGCTTCGCTTTCATTAGTTAACGGCAGTGATTAGTAAGTAAATTTCCCCTGTTTTTGAAATTATATTAAATTTGATGCTTTCACCCGTTTTCGATTTTTTTTCTCTTATTTAATGAAGTCCCGAAGCATTTTAAACGTTTGTCTTAAATTAGGCTCTGAATAAAGTACTCCAGAATTTCAAAGTACGTAGAATAAATAAATTCTAAGTTATTTTATTTCTTGTTAATGGCAATAGATTACTCAAAATGAAGCAGAAATATCCAAAATGAAAATTACTCTAAAAATTGAAAATGATAGTTTTGTGCTATTGAAATCAAGAGCATTTATCAAGATAAATTAAAAAAAAATCTCTCTCTCTCTCTCTCTATATATATATATATACATCTTAGATCTGTATATTTCATTTTTAAAACTGCAATAGCTTTAAAGCTTTGGTTTGACATGTTACAGAGATATTACTGTATTGATTATTCTCACTTTAAATAAATAAAATGTGTTTTAATTAAAGAAAAAAGGTAAAAGTTGTTATGTCTAGATTAAATTAAAAAAGTGGATATATTTTTGTTATCGGGACCGTATTCAGAAATGTATGTTAATTATTAATTTAGGACGTAGTCCGGCACACCTGATAATCAGAAATGTATATATGTATGCATGTGTGTGCGTATGTACACGCACATATACACACACGCATACGTACGTACGTACATATATACATGCATTTATGAACACATACATCCGTACATACGTGCATATATATTGTGTTATTTCTAATTGATAGCACATTGGTTTGTTCCCCTTGACGAGTTAATTAACCTGCGATGAATGACATTAACTGCTTTTTCAGCACTTAAAATTTTTACAGATTTACAAATTTTTTTTTTATAGATTTTAAATCGTTTTTACTACAGTAGAGGACTGAGTTATACTGATTTAATATGCTAATTAGAATACTGGCTGAGATTTTTTTCTTATAGTAATTCATGGCTTTAATTGAATTTCTGTTCCTTGGAGATAATATATGAAGAACTTTTTCTTGTACTAAATCATATAGATATATATTTCTGAATCCGGTCCTGATAATAGAAGAGTACTAAAAAGTGTAATAAAATATAATGCAATTCTTATCAGTTTACTTGTAGTTTTTAATGACATTGAGATGTATATTTAACGAACAGGAAATCGTTATAATTTGTAACAGAATAATGAGATTTAATAACACAGTACTTGCATAATACGGTCAGCCAACTCAATTTATTCCCTATATAATGTATTCTGTGGTCAATGGCAGTTTAATATAATGCGTCTATACTGAGCTGGGAATCAACTCCTAATATTTGTATTATATTCAATAGATGTTGTTACGTTATTTTCACGGTACCCGAAAATGTAGACATAGCATACATTATCATGAATGGGGTAGGAAGTCTTATGTCACTCATAGATCTTGAATACTAATAAAGACAGCATTTCTTTTGTCATTAATTTAAATAGTAAAATTAAAGCAAAAATTAAGTTGTATAACATTGCAAAATTTCTTAAATAATTCGAAACTCTTCTGTTATCAAGACCGAATTCAGAAATATATGTGTATACGCATGGATATATGTGTTCATGTGTGCATGTGTATATGTATGTACGTATACATGTGTATGTATATACACACACATGTGTAAGCACGTACATACATACATAGGCATATATGCACACATTTTTTAATCCGGTCCCAATAACAGAAGAGTATCAATAATTCCTTGAATTCAAAAATTAAAAATATTTTTAAATCATGCTATTAGAAAATTAAAAATATTTAAATACTAAAAGAAATTTTATTAATTATCTACTCTGTACCAATTTATAAAATATATGCTTTGAATAACTATTTAACACGTTCGCTGCAGAGCGACTTTTCGAAAACGCTTCCACCACGCCAACAAACTTTAATTAATTTATTACAAAATAGTGTGTGTGTGTGATTATGGAAAAGCCTCGAGGGCTATCTGCCTGAGGGGAAGAATGCCTTCGTGGAGGACTTTCTAAGGAAAACTGGCTCGTATACACGTTACATATGGGGAAAACCACGACAACGCCCATGCAGCCAGCCCGTTCGCGGAATTCGAACCTCAGACCGAACTACCAGTTTTCAGCGACTTTACCGCTCGGCCGTTGGTGGGTTATTGCAAAATCGAAATACAAAACATGTATTTATGGGAAAGATATTGAATTCAGATAATTTTTAATTGCTTTATTAATTATACGAGTTACATCGCAGTCGGTTTTGGGGATACAATGTTTTATGACAGCGCCAAGTACGAGTATACTCGTAACCAGTATATTCGTAGTTGGCGGTTGCTTATAACAAAGATTGATTATTTTTACAACAATTATTATAACAACGATTATTATAAATTGCTTCATTATTTTTTCAGTTCTTATATTATTTACTTTATAATTACTTATATTATACTTATATTAAGTACAATAAATCTCTTGAATTGCGCCAAACTGTTGTGTTTTTTCTAATTTCCAAAGCCAAATACTTTCAAAGCACATGCAAATGCTACAAATTTGATCGCATGTGGCGTAGGTAAAACAATAACGTTCCACGAATTAACTCGTAGCTGGCGCTTAAACAAAAATTTCGACCTACGATATAATTCGTTGTTGGCAGAGAAGGTGTTAATTGTATTATGCGGTGTTTTATCTTTCCTTTCCGCGTGTCTTCGTAGTGTAATTGGAAGCATACTCGACATGTGTTCGAGAGGTCCAGGGTTCGAGTCCCGGAAAGGACATTACACTTTTTTCTCGTCTCCTGCTTCACAATAATTTAGTGTACAATATAATTGTCTTTTTCAAAAGCCAAAGGAGATGTTACATTAAGACTTGTGACTTTAAATTCTTCAATACGTATCAAAATATTTTTTTTTTTTTTTTTTTTTTTTTTTTTTTTTACAGTCACGGTAATAGTTTTAAACAAAACATAATCTTGCATTATTATTCTGCATTTCCATTCTTGCATTATTATACATATACAATAACCTTTTAAAATTATATTTTAGCATAATTGATATTGAGCCATTAAATACCTAATTATGTCGTTTAACCGTTATTAAATTGCCTGTGTGAAGTTTTCCCACATTAGCTCAGCAGTAAAAATATCAAGAATATACAGAATAAAATTTTAAATATATTTTCAAGAAATGATAAAATAAAAATAAATATATTTGATGTAGCAATATAGAAAATAAATATATTTTTGAATTTTTTAAATATCTTTCTTAAATTAAATGTGAACTGAAATTTGGGTATCCTTTTTAATTATGACAGACGATAAAGTATGTATGTTGAAAGTTATATTAGCTTGTAAAAGTAAAGTTTGATCATTGCTGTATTATAAAAATTGTCAGATTCCAGAAGTTATCAAACATTCAATAAAAAATTTCTTTGAATATGACACTTAATCAAATTGCATATCAAAATTATAATATCCATATTTCTTCGATTTACATTAATGTATGATTGGATTGAAACACACGTGTAGTTTGTAAATAAAATAGGTAAACTGATACTTCTTTTTGTCCTAACGTATTACAGCAACCACCTTAGCAGAAGTCGCCAAATTTTCAGAAGTTGCCAAATTCTGGCAACCATGCGCATAACAGTCCTTTAGGTAACCATATCCATTTTAAGTTGCAGTTCGAAAATTCACCATATCAAACAAAGATCAAGGAACATGAATCTTATGTCGTATCAAGGAACATGAATCTTATGTCAGAAAAGGCGAAATTAACAAGTCCTCAATAGCGCATCATAGCTGGACATTTAACCAAAATTTTGACTTTGGGTCTGCAAAAATTATCCAAAAGGCTTCTTCCATAGGTGAATTGGATTTTCTTGAGGCTTTTCGCATTCACAAAGATTTAGCAGGTTTAGTTAATGATTTGAAGTCCAATCCAGTCCTTCCTAATGCCTTTAAAATCCTACTATCTTAATTCAGTTATTTTTGCCGATAGATGGCGTTACCTCCTCGCGTTTGGTACTACCAGAGGGTATAAAAATCCGTTCAGTGGTTGCTTTCCGTTATTTGAAGTTCAGATTTTGAGCGTGAAGGTGCATTTGCCCCTCGCTCCCTATTTTAACTTCGCTAATTTTTCTTGTCCTTTATGCCTGATCAGATAGCCTGGCTCAGTAAAAGTAGGCGGCTAATGCAACTCTGATTAAAAATCCAGTTTTAACCACGGCAGTGCTGATAAGGACCACGTGTTTCTAAGACTCCTTCTCCTTTATTTTCTTGTTTCTAGGTATTTCTTTTTCCTGATGAGGAGGGACCTTTAGCTGCCTTCGAAATCGATTGAGTGTTTCATTATACCTACGCTAAATACAATTTTGTTTTTACGATTTTGATCACCATATCATCTTTATTTCTGTAAAAAAGCGCCAAACTGCGCCAAAGTGGTTGCCCTAATACCTAAGTACGTATTTTTTTAAATTAATGATTTTATTAAAAATTTTTTTAGTATCACAGCGTAGTGAAGTTACCGGGGGTATAACTTTAATTTCTTTTTTATGAAGTAACTAGGAATTATTATTATTTTTTAACTTGTCTAGGCAATTTTCATTACTGTTTATCAAGTTTCTTAGCTTTCGCATAAGTGGGTAATAAAAGGAGCGCCTACAATTTTTAATTATCTGTCACGTTAATGAATAAAACTACCCCTTTAAAAACCGTATTTGATACATCAATCACTGATTAGTATTTTCTTGTTTCAAAAGTCTTATATAAACGAGATATATTCGAATACATCACAGTTTTCTCATAGAAATATCCGACATCTTCTGGAAGATAAGGAATACGTTTATAGACCTAACTTAAATTACAAGAGATACGGTAATATATGTAAAATTATTTAATAATATTAGAATCTTTAAATAATAAATTAATAATATCTTTAAAGAAAACTATCATACTACATAATGTAAGTTAAATGCCCATTCATTTCGGAGACCATTACATTGGATACATATAGTGCCATACTTATTCCAAATTTTTTGATTGATGATTTAATAACAACAAGAAAAATAGACAATAAGTATTCATAATTAACCAAATTTAACCAACAAAAAAGAAACAAAAGTTGAATATGTAACCCTAATAATTCGAAAATGTTCAGCATGATTTTCAGAACTTAAGGAGAGTTTTTTGCAATCTTAATTATCGAATCAGACTGTATTCTTATCAGTAGTCCATAGTTACTGATACTAGAAGCTCTTGAATTTCCTGAAACGTGAAATTATGTTGCGTAAAAGCACACGACTCTAATTAGAGCGTATAAGAATATCGCCCTTTGAATTCCTATGTGGTAAACAAGTGTTCATATCTGTGCACGAAGAAACGTGTTATGATTGATCTTTCTGTGAAGAAACAATCTTTTGTTTTGTTTTCAGCTAGTATCAGGGTGTATACTTTATAAAGATACGTTAAGTAATTACATAACAGGTATTATCTTCTTCGTTCCACTTTGTTACAAACGCCCTTTAAAAAAAAAAAAAAAAAAAAAATTAAGCAATCTATTATATTTCTACACCTCATTTTCTCTTTTTCATGTGTTACAGCTTCTTTAATTTAAATTTCGTTTATTTTTTTACAATTATAATTACGAGGAGATGTGCCTTATTTATGTATTTATTACATTGTTTCCATTAGGTGTAAAACTCTTTCTCATGATTTAATTTAAGGAAAAGACTTTTATTCAACTCGAATGAAGTACTTACTAAGTGACCTTACTAAGTGACGCTCAGACAGTAATTACCTGCATAAATCTCTAATATGTGGCATTATGGATTATAATAACGGTGTAGATGTTTATAAATTTTGCCACTGTAATCAATTACATGAATTAAATATATTATTAAGAATAAAATTTTTTAAAAATCTGAAAAGTTTCGGATTTTAACGATCGTTTAGAAAGGTTTGTTAAGGTTTTTAAGTTCTCGTTGAGCTCGCAGTCAAGTATTCTGCTCTTGCATTCACGCCTGCTTTTTTTCTTTTTCTTTTTTTTTTTTTATTTTAACTTTATTATTAAGTATCTTTTTTTCGCACTTACATCATATACAATTCAACAGCAAAATCACGAAAATTTTAAAAGCAGCATAGCAGCATATGTTTAGAATTTCCGATGCAGTGTTAAATGTTGACATATACTCGTATTTTGTCAATTTTCAGTCTTTTCTCAGTTAATCATATCAGTGTTCAGTTTTTAGTAAGATGGCTTACAAAATTCTTTTTCTTGATTTTTTTATTATTGACGTATTGAGTGTTAACTTCATTTATTAAATATCACTTTCTTCGCACTTAATCTACATGAAATTCGATTCAAAAGCAAAAGCAAAAAATATTTCAAAATAGCGTATATTATAAATTTCGATAGACAGTCTTGTGCGCTGGAGAGGAAAATGCTTTATTCCGTACGGTGTTGCCACCGCTCGCTTTCAAATGGTTGAGTTTGTTAGTCAAAAATTCATTAACGTCTTACAAAATATGAAATAAATAATAAAAAGTATGACGTCATTTTGTGTAATATTGAATATTTTTAATTAGACAGATCGGGAATTGAATGCATTTTTATTATTTCATACAGTCCGATTGAAAAGTGAAAAGTTAATATTTTGAAGAACTGCATCTGTTGCTTTCAAATAACTTAGTTTGTTAATCCACAACAAATAGCTTCAATTTGAAAAATAAATATCCTACATTTTGCCTAATGCAACAGACGCGAATGAAAAGTTAAACGATGCTTTTATAAGGATTCAATGCAAAATCTCATTTTGAAAATCGTAGGGCTTTTGGGCTAATAAATATTAAGAATTCTGCTTAATACGTTTAACTCCCTATTAAGTATTATGTTTGTTAAATAGCTATAATTATAATTTGAAAGAGAAATAGAAGTTTTTATACTACATTGATTGCAACAGTCTGGATATTTGCCAGACCACATTCAGTCTAAATTAAAGAAGCATCTTGAATGAATCGATGATTTGTTACATTAGAAAATTTCTTAGAGTAGTTTTTAATTTTTTTAAAAAAGTTTATAGGTTTTTTTTCCTTAGTTGAAATTTTAATTAATATGATAATATAATATCATTCACTTATCACAATGCAATTTAACAACTTAAATTAACTTTGATCAAATAAAGCATTAAATCTTTAAACGTTTTTGGTAAATTTTTGCTTCTGTAAAATAAGAAATATTTTAAAACAATTTTCGATTCAATAGATTTCTTAAAAATATCACATAAGCACACAGTGGCTTCTAAAATACGTACAATATTATTATTGCTGCTATTATTATTTAGCCAGAGAATCAAACTTAAAATTTATTTCAAAATATGAAATAAGAAGTTTTTAAATAATTATTTAAAAATTATTAAATCTCTCGGTCTGTCTATTTATCCGTAATATCTAACAATAAATATTATAAAAAAATAAATAAATTAATCGTAATGAAAATATGTTTTATTTTTCAAATGCCAGCATAATACTATATCTTTCTTAATAACAAAAAATTTCAAACTCTCATTCAAGGGCTTATTTAATGAATTTTAAATTTTTTAAGTGAATATGAGTAATTCAAGTTCTTTCAATAAATTATAGAGACATTAGGTATTTTTTGAAAGCAGGAGAGATGAAAAATGTGCAACGCCTTGGCCGGGAATCAAACCGCGGACCTTTTATCAATCTTTAGCACGTCTTTTAGAACGTATTTTCTAGCACATGTTGAGAACATTTCGAAAAATACCACTGTTGTACGTTGAAATATACGTCCTAAAAACACGGCTATAATACGCACCGCTTTAGCACGTCATTTAGAACGCTTTTCACAGTACAAATTGAGAATGTTTAGAAATGTACCAAGATTGTACGTTGAAATGTACGTTTTAAGAACACAGTTATAATACGCACCGCTTTAACACGTCGTTTAGAACGTGTTTCCTAGAACATGTTGAGAACGTTTCGAAAAGTATCAGTGTTGTACGTTGAAATGTAAGTCCTAAGAACCACGGTTATAATACGCACCGCTTTAGCACGTCGTTTAGAACGTTTTTCACAGTACATGTTGAGAACGTTTCGAAATGTACCAGGATTGTACGTTGAAATGTACATTTTAAGAACACGGTTATAATACGCACCGCTTTAGCACGTCGTTTAGAACGTATTTTCTAGCACATGTTGAGAACGTTTCGAAAAGTACCAGTATTGTACGTTGAAATGTACGTCCTAAGAACACGGTTCTAACACGCACAACTTTAGCACGTTATGTCGAACTATTTCATAACACATTCTGGGAACATTTCAAAAAACACCATTGTTGTACGTCGAAAGGTACGTACTAAATACACGGTTGTTACACGCAGCGGCAGCGCTTTAGCACGTTATGTAGAACGTTCTAAATACACTTAACACCGTTATAGAACGGTATGACACGGACTCTGAACGTTTTCGGAACGTTCCGGTGCTGCTTAATACGCGCCCAGCGTGCAGACCATCATACGACGAAGGCATGCCAAGAAGGTGGAAGAAATACCTTATAAAGTAAATAAATAATATTAACACAATTTGTGTAATATATGTTTGGGGACAGCAAACTCATTATTTTCCAAGCTTTAGTACACGGTGGTTGTAAAATTTTTTTTGGTGACTTGGAGTAATAATTTCGTTTCTTTTCAGATCATCCAATAACCTAATAGAAAAAAAAAAGCAACATGACAGACGAGAGCATACAATTGGAAAATGTGGAATTCGTACAAGCTTGCCCCATACAGTACAGATGCAGACGTTGCAGTAGTTTAGATTCTTCTCTTAACAGAGCGCGTTGTGGTCACGGTTTTTGTGGGAGATGTGTGAATTTAGTGCGGGCAGCTCGGTTCCAGTGTCCAGTAGATTCCAGATCCGTAGAGAAGAAAGAGGTGAGTACATAGATTCATTGAATTTTTAAACATATCGTGTTGAACTTCTTTGCTTCGAAAGTGAAATTTTCCTAAAGATGCTCCGATAAACTGTTTACCGTGTTGAAAGAAATTTTACGTTTTACAAATTTCCCTAATCAAATTTAGGAAACTAGCTTGAATTAAAACTGATCTTCCTCTTCTTCAATGCAATTCCGTTTTGCATTTACGGGGGGATTCAAGCACTTGCACCAAGGCTGCGATGTCCTCTGGAGGACTTACACTCATACCGATTTGGTTTGGATGTTCTTAATAAAATTAAAACAACGATTTTTCAATTTGAATTTCCATTCTGGAGAATTAAACAAAAACAATTTTAGGATGCTAAATCTGACAAGTAAGAGGATGAGAAAACACTGTGACTTTTATTCCTTTCAAAGCTGTTGCATTTTCAAGGTATTGTTCCCGGCGGGTTTTAAGAGCACAGCTAACAACTCATTTTCCCTTCATTGCTGATTCTTTTTTAAATCCATTTTCAGTTGCCTCAAAGCATCTGAATAAAAAACCGCACTGGCTATCTCGCCTAGAGAAGCGAGTTCATACGGCTCACTTCGTATCGATAATAATTACCAACTTTGTTTTTGTTGCACCTTTAATTTCCGCTTTGCTTCTTTAATCTTCATGAAATTGGGGGTCCTCTTTTATGAGACCATTTGCTTCAGTTTAGGCTTTTAGTTATGAATCAGATTCCCATTCTTTTTGATGACCACAGAGGCTATTTTGATGAATAACAGAAGGTACACTTTACACAACAACAACAAAAAATCCCATTTAGGATATAAATCAGATTTATATTGAGCATTGTTCTAAAAAAAAGTATTTTGTCATAAAACCGGATTTTATCTGAAATGTCATATCGAATTTTTTCCGTACTTCGATTCTACCACTAAAATTATGTCTAAATATTAAATTTTGTAAAATTTCGTGGAAACGTAGCGAGAAATTTAAAAATTTATCTTGGCATATATTTTTCAGTATGCACCAAGAATAATCAACTTGGCAAAGTTCTTAATTTATGGTATTTCATTTTGAGGAACTAAAATTTTGAGAGCTTTTTTTTAATAACTACTTGTCCTATTTTTATAAAACTTGGCACTTTGGCATAGTTTGAGTCATAGAAATGAAATATGAAAAAATATCGGTATATCGTTTGATAAAAAGGCCGATTAATGTTAAAATATATATAATTAAATTACGTCAATCGGCCCAGTAGAATAGAAGATATTAAACTGTCTCCCTTCTTTTTTACCTGATAAACTTCAATTGAAAGATGGAGAATATTTGAAGTATGTTGGGAAAGGTCATAAATGTGAAAAGGGGTCATTTTGAAAGGTAAAAATTTCAGATTCCTTTAAGTAAATTTTCAAAACTTGTATAATCATTGCGATCCAGCTGTATTGTATATTCTCTATGATCTATGAATTCCAAGTTTTAAGCTGTTTATGTTATGCAATCATCTCAGTTTCAAAATTTTGTGAGTCCATTAAGCGGGTATGGAACATTAAAGTGTCATTTTCTGCAATCCGCGATTTTATTTTTTATTCAACACAGCATTTTAATTTAGAATTTTTTCCCTAGCCCTTTCTTAATATTTGGATATTTCTAAACTAAATTACGAAGTAAATTAAGAATTAAAATAATTTGGTCCTGAACAATTTACTAAGAGTTTATTTCAAAGATTTGCGCGAACTTACATTTAACGCAACTACCTTGATGCAAATTGGCAACTTTTTACAGATGAAAATGAAAAGTTACTCGTAGGGCGCAATTTGGTGGTTCTCGCGTATTTTTTTGGAAAGATTCTCAAACTATCGATATTTATCGTAAGTCGGCATACATTATCAACATTACATACATACATTATTGGGGAAAAACTAATTTTAGCAATTTAAAATGAAAACTTTAATTATTAATATAAAGTGGGTATGGATTGCATGATATATTAAAGAATTGGATTGGGGTAAGGCTTGCATGATATATTAAAGAAAAATATCATTTTTCGCCAAATCTTTATGCAGTTTTCTTCTTAAGTACACAGCGATCTGTTTCCGCTTAAAAAATATCAGGGAATTGCAGAGATCCGGCATCGCGTAGATCTCGACAACACCTGCTATCTACTAAACGCATCTCCTTGTTATTCTCTTTAGATACTTTGCGACAAAATTATCTATTGCCGTAGAATTTTTCAGAAATGGATTAAATTTAGGGAAGGCATAATCTGTAATGGAAATTTTACGGCAATTTTGTCCATTGCTGACAAATTCCACAAGCGTATATTTTGAAATTAAGTTGAGAGCAAAAAATATCACGAACTGTTTATAAAAACCATTGGAACTTGGAATACAACAAAAAGAACGCATACAAAAATGGCGACGCTGCTTGACAGACGGATTGTTATAAGCATGGATGCCTGAGAAATGATCATGTACATGATTGTCAGGATTTGGCACATTCTGAAAACTTGATGATTTCTGCTAAGGTGGTTTCAATAACACGTAAGTACCGATTTGCGCTGGGACGAGAGCAAAGGGACTGAAGTTACACTGCTGGCCATTAAAATTGTACGAATGACCTGACGAACGCCAAAATCACATGAAAGGAAGAAGAGGTTGGGATATGCAAATGGTTAGTATTTCAGCCTATTTAGACGACGTAGGAGGGAGAAGCGACATCTGCATAAAGAAAAGTTGTGTAGTGGACATTCAGAAAGCACTTTGCAAGGTCGGAGTTTGTTCAGAATATTGTGTTATATCTCGAATAATAATAAGAAATACTTACCAGCAAGTGTCGAAATGTGACGAGGGCAGGATCGTTGCCTATCGAGAATGTAGTTTATCGTTTCGTGATACCGCCCGTCGCACTGGTCAACATCCAACCACTGACATGCGAATATGAAATGAATGGGTTGCTGAGGGTCATATTGAACGGCATGCAAGATCTCAACGCCCTCTCATGACTAACGCCCAAGGGGACAGAGTGAGGACAGTTCTGCAAAACCTTACAAACACATCACGCACGATTAGTAGGAAAATGGACATGTTTGCAGCACGCCTAGTATCCGCTCGTACGGTGTGTCGATGTCTGCAGCCACGTGGACTATCAACACGATGACCATCACTTCGGCTTCCCTTCACAATGCAGCAGAGAAAAGGATACTCTGCTGCGCCGAATGACAAATCTGGATACAGGAGTGGCAGAACGTTGTCTTTTCAGACGCGTCCCGGTTCTTCGTGCAGTGTTCTGATACATGTATACGTGTCTGGAGGCTCCGAGGAGACATGAATACGTGTCTGGAGGCTCCGAGGAGACAGCATTTACGAGCTCCGAGGAGTTACATTTCCGAATCTTACGTTCAATGGTTGTGCTCTATCTTCGAGGCCTGCAAGACGCCATCTTCCAACAAGATAATGCAAGACCACATATTCCACGTCCTGTTTTGTCCTTCCTCGATACACTGTAGAGACATTAGGTGTTTTGGAAGCAGAAAATATCAGCAGTGCCCTCGCCGGGACTTGAACCACGAACTTCTCGAATACGCGTCGAGCGTGCTGACCACTACACCACGAAGGCATGCTAAGAAGTCGCGGGAAATACCTTATAACACAGGGTATTGGATTTCTGTCCTGGCCTTGCACGTTCTCCAAAATATCTGGTCGTCGGCTGCTGAGAGACTGTCCCGCCACCTTTCTCCAGCTAATGCATTTGATGAAGTGTGGCATAGACTTGAAGCAGCATGGCATGAGTTGCCCGTTTCTGTCATCCAAGCCCAATTCGATTCCATGCTTACCAGGTAACAGGTGTTTCTAATAATTTCGCTCCCCTATAAACCTCCAAACTGCTTAAATTTAATCATTTTTTCTTCATGCCATACTGTTTATATACAATAAATATCTTTTTTGTATTTGGCTTTCCTTGATGGTGCAGCAATTTTAATGGCCAGTAGTGTATTTACCGGTCGTAACTTTTTTTTTTTTTTTTTTTTTTTTTTTGTAGAATATAATTCCGGGAACAAAGTTTCAAAACATGAAACATTTGGCGAAATATATGTGGCGGAAAAATTAGATAAAAAGCAGAGTTGCTTACGAAGCACGTTCAAGGACATATTTCCACGAATGCGTTAAAGAAAATGTCAATACAACATAATGAAAAGTGAAGAGAATAACAGAATTTCAAAACAGACGATGTCTTTCATAAATAATTCTACGAAGAGATGAAAAATTGTTGCAGTTGTTCTCTGTACAAAAATGTTTCTTTTATTAAAATTTCAAATACATACATTATGTATTTGAAAGTTTCCTTCAGTTTGAGAGTATTTTGGGCTTCTGCGGATATAGTGGGGCTTAAAAAGGCGATGTTCAATACCTTTATTTTTACGTTCTTAAAAATATTAATAATTTTTAGGGGTGGCTGTCTACGAGAGGCGGTCACCATGAGAGGTTTTATTGCATTTCATTTGATCTTGAAAAATACTAACCAAGTGTTTTAAATAATTGTTCTCACTTTCTTTTAAACATTTCTTTTTCCTTCCTGTAAGTTAACACGTTGACTGCCGCAGGCATTTTATGTGGTTTGCCCATGGCACAAACATAAATCTTTTATTATGCGATGTATATCATATTGAAATACTATCTACAGAAGATAAGGTTGTAAAAACATTAGGTTATTTGGAAGCAGGAGACCTGAAAAATGAGCAACGCTTTCGCCGGGAATGGAAACACGGACCTCTGGAATATACGCCCAGCATGCAGACCACTACACCAGGAAGGCACGCTAAGAAGGCGGGAGAAATACCTTATAAGGTGAGTTATATAATCGTATTTAATGCATTTTTCGTGGTGAGGGTCACCGGTGGCCATCGAGGCGCTGTAGACATACTTTTTGTGATTTATTATTTAAATTTTCGCGAAAGATTATTCTACAAACCATTATAGTAATAATTCTAGAATTTAAAAATTTATCGG